CGCGCTATCTCTCGCTGTCTCTCTCTGTCTCTCTCTCCCTTTCTCCAACTCTCTCTTTCTTTCTCTTTTTCTCCCCCCCTCCTCTCTCTCTCTTTGTCTCTCGCTGTCTCTTCCCCCTTCTCGCACTACCTATCTTTGTCTATCTTTCTCTCGTTTTCTCTTAAGCTTTTTAAAAAATTCTTTCTCACACTTTTATCTAGTTGTGCTATAATTATCCCTCCTGCTCCCTTCCCCTCTCCCCTCGTTGCCCTCCGTTCTCCCTTGCCCGTTCTTCATTTCTCCGCTCCCGCTCGCGACGCTCTGAACACGTTAACGACGCTGCATATAAAAGCATCGCAACATTTATTAAGCGGGCTTGCCTGCTCCCGCGAGGCGAAACTCGAAACACGAGTGGCTGCGCATCGATTCGAAATATGCAAAGCAGCACAAAAATTTGAGCTTGGAAGTACAGCACCAATATGGCGGGAGAGCGACGGGCATGGACGGTTCAGGCACTAGAGTAACTAACTGCCCCCCCCCTCCCACAGGCCCGATGGGAAATATATAGACATCTCCATGCGATGGGAAATATAGACCGCCACGCGATGTGAAACTAGTTTCGGTTAGACAATAGGTTAAGGTATAATTTATTCTTGGCCGGTCGGTCCGCACACAGTAAGGGTGCACTTTAGCTACCGGTCCCTTTAATCTCTCCGATTCAGGGCCAAGGGGGCTATTCAAACGACATTCTTAAAGGCAACGCCAGATAAGATCTCTCCCCCAGCTCTCTTTAGCTCCCATTCCTGTGTGCTCTCTCTGTCTCTCTCTCTCTCTCTCTCGCTCTCTCTTGCACGCTCTCACACACTCTCTCTCTCTCTGTCTCTCTTTCTCTATGTCTTTCTCTACCTCTTTCTCTTTCTGCCTGTCTTACTCTACTTCTCTCTCACGCGCCTTGAACCGCGTTCTCTCTTTCTCATGCTCTCTCACTCTCTTCCATCTGTCTCCCCCACTCTGTCTCTCTCTCTCTCTCTCGCTCTCTCTCTCTCTCGCTCTCGCTTTCGCTCTCTCTCTCTCTCTCTCTCTCTCTCTCTCTCTCTCTC